ATTGTCTGGCTGTGGTCCAGCTACTGATCCGGAATCGGACCCTCGCGCGTGGTAGGCGTGCCACTTGCCATTACACCACCGCACGTGGTTTTTATAGCAATGCGGTGGTTAGGCGACAGTACAAAACTGTGGGTAAATTGAGTGCTGAACTCACGAATGTCATCGTTGCATGCATCCAAAGTTTCCTTCAATACCAAACAGTCTTCGAAACCCTGAAAAGTCTGATGAATTTTCGAATGAACAAACATAACCAACGATTTGTTGACTTAATCGTTCTTCGATCAGCGACAATCAACCGAGCAACCCACACAGTTCATTCCTTGACCGTAAAAAGGAGCCATCGCGTGGGCAGAGTCTCCTTGGAGGAGCACGAAGTTGCCAAAGTCGTGGGGGCGACACTAAAAATCTCCAGCTCAAAAAGTAGCACTTCGGCTGAAGAGGAGCGAATGGTTAAGTGGACGAAGCTTCCACTAAGGTATAGAGCCAAACCCCACCGTCATATCGAGAAGTCTTATGGTTAGAGTCTCGCGAAAACTTCAGAAGCCAGTTGATTTACGTCTTTAACTTACTTACTTATGATTCATATCATTGGTAAAAGTAGGCGGTGGAGGTTTTCAAGGTATTCCAAATTGAAAGTAAAATCCCTACCTTGATAGAAACTAGAGGCTGTGGGCGAACACGGCGGAATGTGTCGAGGAGATGCTCCCTTAAAAAATGAGAACCAAGTTCGCAAATAATGAGAAGGCTGCTGGTTCAAACTGTGATCATTCATGTAACACTTAGAATCAACACATTCCATTGTGCTGCCTAACGTCTGGTAAAAGCAACAACTGGGTAAAGCTTGTTCCAGCCAATGATTGCAGCACTACTCATCCTCTACCGTCCAACACCCTTCCTGGGAACTTTGGCCAGATTTTTTTCGGGGTTTCTCCCTGAGAGGAAATTTGGCCAAAAATTAGCTCTCGGTTGATAGGTGACTCCCTTCACACGAGTCACATCATCGACGAAAACGTGCCGTCAAAATATCTCAAATCAAGGTTTTGGATAAACAATTGCCCCTTGGGGCAGCTTGACCCACTGGTCACGGATGTCATGTCCACTCGGCACGATGTCGCATGGTGCTCGCAGAGCAACATGCGACACTGCCGAAATACCCCAAATCACCAACCTGGCTGCAAACTTGACCAAAGTGTAGTTTGGTCTCGCCTCCTTCAGTATGGGGTACCAAGGCAGCTCGTGATGGGGAGAGGGGAGGAGGGGGGAACACACGACGTCGCGACCTTTTCTACTGTCTCATCATGCTCGACG